TCTATCCCCAACCCAGAAAAGAGAAGGCCGAGAGGACAGGGAGCCACATGAACGGTACCTGCAAGCCCTAGGAGGAAATGAGGAAGGTGCTGACATGTGGCAAGGGTTACAGCTAATTCACAGAACAATCTCCGTGTGAGCTATTGATAAGAAAACTAATTTGCTATGTAAACAATCACAAAAAGCAACCATACCCAAACCACACACACTGCCACTGAGTGGATGCCTATTCATAGCGACCCTGTAAGACAGGGTAGAACTAACCCTGTGACCTTCTGAGACTCTCGATCTTAACAGGAGTAGAGAGCTATCTTTCTCTCTTGGAGCAGCTGGTGGTTTCAAACTGCTGACCTTGTGGTTAGCAGTCCAACATGTAACCCATTACCCCACCACGGCTCCTCAAAGCAATAATGAAATAAAAATCTGAGAAGAATGGAAGAAAACCATTGAAATCATGTGACCCAGCAATTCCAATACTAGGCCTATACCATGGGCTTCAAAAAGTTTGTGGGAAAATTCCATTACCTTTCTATTCCATGTGTCTACACACACTTTGAAGCCCTGACCTCCACCTCTTCCCCACATAAAATGACAGCACGAATGGAAACCAAAACTTATGACCCATGTCCTTATAACACTTTTCCCAATAGCCAAAAAGGTAGCAACACCTTTAATTCCATTTTCCCACAAACTGTTTGGATCTCCCTGATATAAGCCAAAGCTTATAAGTAGTTACCGGGGACTGAAGATGGGTGGAGGGACTGTGGGTGCTTAGGGAGCTGTAAGTTTCTGCTAATGGAATATGTTTTAGAATAGACAGTAATAAAAGTTATGCAACATGGACGTGAGTAGTGTCTCATTTAGACATTTTTTTCCCCAAAGAAAAGAAAAAAATGAAACAAAAGAAATGAAGTCAGGCTAAATTTTCTCTTGATGGATCCTTATAAAATGACCAACTTCCATCCCTTACCTTAAAGCTAAATTTTAGTCAACTGTCACAATTGGAAAATTTTAAATATTTTCTTCTCATATTTTCACACTTTCAAGCGGTTATAAAACATGCTTAAAATAACAGCCTTCTTTTCCCAATAGAAATCAGAAACAGCTCAAGGTGTGAAGGTTTTGCAGCCTAGCATTTTCAGGACTGGCCGCAGGCAAAGGGCCAGAGCCAGATTCGAGACTAAAATCATTTGCCAACAATTCTCCCCAGATAATCCTTCGGTGGTAACAGGTCCGATACTAAACAATGCTCCTGGGTTGGGGGTTGTAGAAAGAAGCATATCTAGAAACTGAACTTTCCCAAAGGAGGCAGAGAAGGTTAAATGGAAATCATGATAATAAATCCATTAAGTCATGGTGTTGCCAAATGCTACATCAAAACAATGAGCATTTACTGAATATTGACAGTTTTCCCAATGCTTTCAAATAACCTATAAGAAGACATACTGGATTTATGTATGGATTGTGATAAGAGC